CCCCCCCCCCCCCCCCCCCCCCCGCACTCAGCCCTCCTATCCCCGTCAGAGCAGCCTGCTGCGTCAGCCACTCACGCAAGGAGGTTATTAAAGAGAGCTGAGAAACCAACATGCCTTCCCTCCCCTCAACGCGCACCATCCAGGAGGGGAGGGGACCGTGCTTCGCAGGAAATGCTGGACTGCAAGCCAGCCGAGCCAGAAATAAGGCAGCCCCCGTGTGTGCCCCCTCCCGAAGGGAAAACTGGATCCCTGTAAACCCAGCTCCCAGAGTCATGCTGGGCCCCTGGTCTCGTTCCCATTATGAGACCTTCCAGTTCCTGGTTTTGGGACTTGCCATATTCATTCATTGATTCATTCATTCATTCATTTAACTGGCACCCACTTAATAAGCTTACTACCAACCAGCTCCTTTGGGCCGGACTCCACCAGTACCCAGGGCCATTTCGAATCCCCAGAAGGGCGAGCAAATATATGTGACCCGCGGATACCGCTCCAATTGGCATCTCTTGAGTCTCTGGTGTACTTGTGTCGAAAGTGTGTCCTCGTGCACTTACCTGTGTCCACATAGCCAAGTGGCTCAGCGTGCCACCATGACCCTTTGTTTATTTTGGTGGGCTTTAAAAGGAGCTGGAACCCTCTCTCTCACACACACACTCCTCCATTCACGCAGTGAACCCCTGCCTTAAAATGGTGCTCGGTGCTTGACAGGACACGAGAGGGCGCTGCAACCTCGGCTGGAGCGTTCAGGACCGCCGTCCTGCCACCTCTTTCTGTAGGGTCGCCAGCTACTTGGCCACTAGACGTCGCTGCCCTGGACAGCCATCGCGGACAGAGACCAGGACAGTGCCGGTTTAAAATCGCCGTGCCCAGCTCGCAGGCGGCTTTCCTGTACAAGAGATCAGAATAGCTGGACTCCATGCCCGAGGTTCACTCCCGCGTGTCATGGCAGTGCACTTGGCCAAGAACTCACCCGTCGGGTCCATCGTGTGCTCCCACTGGGGCCGTCTTGAATCCCAACTGACTTTTATAAATCCGAGGGATGCAGGGTGCCACCTGTACCCTTTGAAGGCGAGCTCACTCAATCTGTAGTTCCTGGAAGGCACCGAGCTCGGCTCCTGGGTGTTGCTATGGAGACGATGAGGGGCACCGCGCCCACCCACCCCCTGCCAGGTCCTCCCTCGACCTGAGCTAATGACCGGGCGGGAGGCGGTAATGAGCGTCTGGGTTGGGGACGGGCGTGGCCCGGGATGAAAGGCGCTTGTGTGGGGGGCACCCTGGGGCCGCGTAATTACCGCCCCCTTCTCGGCCTGGCAGGGGCCAGGGACTCTGCACCTGGCCTCTGCCCGGCGGGGGTGCACAGTGGGACTGTGATGGCCAAGCCTGGTGCCCGTCCTCGGGGACCAGTGCCAGGGTGGAGATGCAGTCTGTGTGTGTGTGAGTTGCCAGGTGTGGCGCACATGTGTGCACGTGGGCAGGAGACCCGTGAGGATTTGGAGAAACATCTGGCTTCCGTGGACGGGGAAGCGTGTTTGTTCCGTGTGTGGTTAATTTTGCACGGCTGACCCGCGTTCCCTAAGGACAGGGTGGGTGGACGGGGTGCTGCGATGCTGACAAATGCGTGCACGACCTGGATGTAGATGTTCAGGGCAGGGCTAGGTGTGCGTGACTGGGGTAGGTGCTAATGGAGCCATCTCTGCTTGCGGGCATGACTCATGTTCCAGGGGTGGGCACGAGAGCTGTGTCAGAGACACCCAGGGCCTCCCAATTAGTGTAGCTAAAGTCCAGAGCCAGCTGTAGGAGTTGAACTTGCCTTTTCCTGGTGGGCCTTGAGCCCTCAGGCGGCCCCAGGTGTCTGAGGAGAGGGCTGGCCTCCTGCCACCCAGAGGGCCTGCTTTCTGCTTCTGGGCAGGGTCTGCAGCCAGGGGCGCTAGGCCCAAGTTCCTCTGACTCATCCCTCCCCGCAGCCCTGAGTCACACCCCAGGAATGGGAATAAGAAAGCTTGGGAGGCCTGGCCCCTGAGGTTCTGGCTCAGACTGGGCCTTGACCGGCAAAGGGACGCCCCAGCCAGCGCACACATCCTATGACAGGCCATGCTATACACGTGCACACCCTCATCCTCTGCCGCAGACCAGCCAGGCTCAGTCACAAACTCCACATGCCTTTGGCATCCGGTAGATTGCCTTCCTTAGGGCTTCCCATACCTTCTTGTCGGTCTTCTATAACAGCTGGGGCTGGGACAGAGCAATGCAGCGCAGGGGCATGTGGAGACCCATCCACAAGGTCTGTATCAGATGGCCAAAAAACACGAGTGACCCTGTAATGACGCCCAGGAAACCCCAGAAGCTAGGTGGCTCATCTGCCTGGGAAATGACCTATTTGGGTTTCTGCAGGATGGAGGGGAAGAGTTGTAGGGCATCTACCCCCAGGGGTCCTCAGATTTGCTTACCAAAATCCTTCTCCACCTTCATCATCCCAGGGCAGGAAGAGCCACCCCTGTCCTCTCAGTGTGCCCAAGCACATACCTGACTCTGGCATGGCTTCCCATGCAGGGGAAAGCACAGACAGCCTCCCTGGAAACGGGCAAGCAGAGAGAGAGAGAGAGAGAGAGAGAGAGAGAGAGAGAGAGAGAGAGAGAGAGAAGCTTCTGCCTGGGGCTGGAGGCCTGTGGTACTTCCTCTGCATTTAGCTGCGTGGGGATAGTCACAGGTCATGAAGCATCTGTCAACCTCAGGGTGCCCAGAAGGTCTCCATGCAAACAGATGGCCCTTGAACCCTTGGAACACCTGTCCACCCAGCCGCAGAGGGTCAGCTCTGGGTAGGTGGCACCCGGGCACCTCTCTGGCCTCATGCTTCATCTGAGGAGTGAGTGGGAGCTGGGGAGCCTCCAGGGTCTGAAAGGGATTGGGTCAAGGGCATCTGCTGAGTTTCCTTCCTGCTGTCCTATGGGCAGCTAATTCCCCTGTCACTTAGCTGCCCCACATTTGAGTGTATTTCCAACATTCTGCAAAAGACTTTCCTTTTTGGGTGCGTGTATGTTCAGTCCTGGCTGTCCTGGAACTCATTTTGTAGACCAGGCTGGCCTCAAACTCATAGAGATCCTCCTGCCTCTGCCTTCCAAGTGCTGGGATTGAAGGCGTGTGCTACCACTGCCCGGCAAGACTTTCCTTTTTTGTTGTCCTTGTGAGATAGGTTGTCCCTGAAGTCTCTCTGTAGTGCAAAGTACCCTAGAAATCCTGACCCCCCTTTATCTCTAGAGCCCAGATGACTGGCTAACAAAAGGCAGCCACTTCCTCAGCCAACACCTGTGAACACTCCTGTTTCCCACCAGGAAATGACTACAGAGGACTGGTCACAAGGCAGTGACCTTGGTGGCCTGTGGGTATTTATTGAGGGAGGGTGTCCTGGGCAAACATTCCAACTCTCTGGGCGGGAGAGCTATCTTGGAGGTTAGCACAGCTTCTGCTCTTCCAGAAGACCTGGGTTCGCTTCCCAACATGGTGGCTCACAACTGTCTGTAAGGTAACTGCAGTCCTAGGGGATCCAAAAGAAGTCCTCTTAAATCTGCTGTGGCCACCGAACATGAACATGGTGCACACACACACTCAAGATATATGAGTTAAGTCAATTCAAAACAATAAAAATAAACAAACACCAACTCCTTTTCTTCTTTCTGTTTCTGTGGGGAACACAGAACTTCAGGCAAGCTAGGCCAGCACCACAGAGCAAATGAAGCCAACCTGTTTCTTACTTGGCCAGCGGGGGTGGGGTGGTCTAAGTTGCCCAGGTTGGCCTTGAACTCAAAATCTCCAGCTGACCTCTTTCTCCTCTGGGAAGCAGCTAAGACAACAGTCTTATACCACTGGGGCATGCAGGGTTCAGGCTGTGCAAGAACCAAGCGCGGGGTCGGGATCAGGGTCATGAGGTAGGTGTTGTTCACCGGGAGCCTGCCCCACAGTCTTCAGTAAATGCTCCTGGCTGGGGGTTGGTGGTGTTCAGCTTAGTCTTGTGGGGCGTGACAGCTGTCTGCGGCTGCCTGCTGGGGTGAGGGGTGACCTCCTTCTTCGACGGGGGCCGGTCCCGCCCACATTCCAGCAGGGTTAGGGGCATCCTCTCCGGTTTGGTCCGAGCCTTTCTGAGGGAGGACCTCTGACCCAGGGCAGGACTCACCTCCCTTCCCGTCCCCGGGACACCCAAAGCAGCAGCTGGCTCCACGGCTGGGGGCGGGGGCGGAGGTTGGAATGTGAGGGGTGGGGGAAGGGTGAAGGAGGGGCGGAAGTGGGGGAGGGAGGGGTGGGACAGCCAGTGAAAGGACGAAAGTAGAGGGGCCTGAATAGAGTCAGAAATAGAGAAAAGCTAGAAGAGACCTAACAGGGAACCAGCTAGCCTTGCACCGGAGCGAGGGAGCCTTCCTCCTCCTCCACCCGGCAGGCAGAGCGGGCTCACCTGCCCCGCGTGACACCGGGGAGGACTAGGTGGCCGTGGGTGGGGCTGGAATCAGACTCTAGGGGGAGAGCTCCCCGCCCAGCTGCCGCCAGCGTAGTCTCCTTCCCAAGGCCGGGCAGGAGGGTGGAGCTGTTTAGAGCCCCACGGGGGCGGCTCTGCCCTGCGGGCACCATCTCTGGCCTCCTCCACGGGTTCTGCTCCTCCCAGCTGCCCACGGACAGCCACCTCCAGACCTCTGACATCTAGAGCTTGCTGCCAGGTCCCCAGATCCCGACTGGAAAGTGGCCACCCCTCCCCCCAGGGGACTCCAGCCTTTGGCAGGAAGCTATGACCCCTAGTGGCCTCCTTCTGCCCGCCCCCGGCTGCCTGGTCACAGAACTCTGCCCATTTGGGAGAGTACCCCCTTGGAGGGTTTGGCAAACCATATCATTCCTTGTCGCCAGCCCCCACCCTAGGCCGGCCTGAGCAGAAGGTTGTTGACTACCTTCGACCACGCAGTCACCCTTCTGCCTCAGCCTCTTGAGTGTGGTGACAGGTGTGCGCCCCCCCCCCACTTCTTTACGAAGACCACAAGCAAAGGCAGCTGATGACCTGGAATTCCCGCCCTGGGGATCCTTCTCTCACCCAAACTGCCTGCGTGCATTTTAAAAAAGATCCTCGTCCTCCATCCCTGCTATCAGCCCTCGCAGCTTCCTCCAGATTATTGGGATTTTCAGGCAAACCTGTTCTACTTTTTCTGCCTCCACCTCCCAAAGGGTGATTCTAACCAGGGTCATGATCAGTCACCCCGCCCCATTAGCTCGTCTAGACTTGGGGGATCTCCTCCAGCGCCCTTGCCAGCTTTGCCTTTTCTTACCTCCGCCCCCCGCCGCTTCACAACGTGACCTGACTGCTGCCCCGCAACACACCCTTTTCTCTTCCAACAATACTTGGCAAACTCCTATTCGTCCCACAAAGCCCCCTCCTACAGGTAGTCTCCCTTCTTCAAGTCCCCCCAAAGGCTGGGAAGTGCAAGAAAATCGGGCGAGGGTCAATCGAACCAGCGGGGATGCAGCAGGAAATGCCGGTGTGCACAGCGCGGTGCACGTGGCGTGCCTGTGCTGGGGGGTCCACGTGCGACGCCCCCAGGGACGCCCCCTCTTCCGTCCAGGCCCAGCCTCAGCCGTCAAGCCTCGGCTGCGTCTCCCGCCCCCAAGTTTGCAGACGCGCGGGCAGCGGGGCGGGGCCGCTGCGCCTCTGCGCTCGCGCACTCGTCCTTGCCGGGCTGAAGTCCCGCCTCCACAGGGTAACCTCGAGTTTATTGGTGCATCTGGAAGAGCGACAGGCCGTTCCACCAATAAAGCCTCCCCGAGGGCGGGCGGAGCCTGGACCGAGGCGCAGGCGGGGGCGGACGGGGAGCCCTCCCCGCGGTGACGTCGGGAGCCTCTCGCGGCGCGCTGCCCTGGCAACCGCGTTTCCATCTCTTCTAGTTTCCGGGGGCCGCCCCCTCCCATTCAGCTTTTTCCTCAATGGGGTGCTGGGGGGGGGGCGGAAGGAAGCAAAGGGCCGACCCCGCCCCTATGCGATTTAGGCAGCCTTTGCTGTCTGAGCCTCGGTTTCCCTCTCCGTCCCTGCCACACGCTCTGGGCCTCCACTTCGGGGTCAGATCGCCCCCTGGGGTTGTTAGTCTGTTCAGGCTGAGGGCGAGCGGGGTGTAGAAAGCAATGTGATGTTGTGATGGGATGATCTGGGTCCCCAACATACAGGGTCCATCTCCGGGACGAGACCTTGAGATCCCCTGGGACGCCCCCTCTCCCCGCGCTTGTGGACGTGGCTGCCTACCTGGTCCCCCCGAGTAGCGCTGAGCGACAAGTAGAAGCCGCCCCACTGTGTTCTCACCCTCACTACGTCGTGTGGCCTCAGATGTCCCCAAACCTTTGGGCCTATTGACCATGAACTCTCCTGGGATCAGGCTTGACGGGATATCTGCCTTCCTGGCGTGGGCGTGGGGACGATTTGGGGTGACTGGGCGGAGGGAGGGGCAGAAAGCACTGTGGAGATGCCCAGGCCACCCTCGGGGAAGGCACCTGCTCCTCATCCCCCAGCCTTCGTGGAGAGGAATAGAGACTGTAGATTTCATGCCCAGTGGTGTTGGGTTGGAGTTTTCCACTAAAGGAGCTCAGAGAGTGTTAACTGTCTCAGCCTAGTCCCAGAAGGCTTGGAGCAGGGATCTTAGAGAATCCCTTTGTGGGGCGTGGGGAAGGAAAAGGTGGGCAAGCCACCTCGGGAAGTTCCCAATCATAACCAGACTGCAGTGCCCAGAAGGGGTATGGCTGAAGCAAAGACCTGGAATATTGGTGCGTGATCCTCCAAGTGTGGCCACCGAGGGGGGGGGGGGATAGAGTGGAGCGACTCTAGGAAGCACTTCCGTTTCTTCTCAGAACTCCTCCCACCACTGGGAGGAGGGAGTGTCTGCCCGGATTCTGACTCCGAAGTTCCCGTCTTCGGCCCACTTGACAGTCAGAGCTGAGAGGTTGAAAGCCTCACCCAGGGCAAGCCCCAGCCCCACGCCCAAAGGGACTTCCGGCCTTGGGTAGCAGGAAGTGGCTAGGCCTTCCCTCCCTCCACCCTAGGCAGCTTCCTGCCAGCCCCAAGCTGGGGAAGGGACGTGGGAAACCATTTTTGGGGGAAACAGGGCACTTCATTCCTGAACAATGAGCTTGGGACCCTGAAGGAGCAAGCGAGGACTAAAGTTCACGTCTCGTTTCCGTTTATTTGAAATTAGGTGCTCGTGTAAGGTTCCCCCCACCCCCCCAAATTTCATTTCAATAAAGGAGACTTGGGTGAGGTGGATCCCCACAGCCGGATTTTCTCCCCGAGGGTGGCTAATGCTATCTGGGGGAAGTCCGTCAGCGGAAAGAGGGAACTATGGGTGGGCTCGGCTCCTGCCTGAGGCCTCCACCCTCAGCTCAGGGGACACATCACAGGCAGTTAAAAAAAAAAAATCATAAAAAAACCAAAAAAACACACACATTTAAATAGATATCCAAGACAGCTTAAAAAAATGCACCCATGTATCCCCCTCCCTTTTCTTTTTGGAAAGAAGATTGAAAAAATAAACCAAATGCTTGGCCTCTACCCTCTGGAATCAATCCCCTCCCACCCACCCTCCACAAAAATCTTTACAGCTATGGCCGACACTCGTTCACATCCCAAACCATTAAGGTTAAACACACAGTGGGAGAGGTGGGGTTCAGACAGAACAAAGGAGCTGAGGACAGGTGGAGCCTACACAAAATTGACAGATGTTGGGGGCGGGCACACATCCCATTAGCACAAAATTTAAAAATGTGGAGGAAGAAAATACCCACAAGATAACCCTTGTTGAAAAGCCCCAGTTTGAGGGGAGGGCAGTCGCCCATGATCAGTAAGGCCAACTTGGGCCAGCAGCTCGCCCTCCTCAGGGGGGGGGGGTTGATGCACTCACAGCTCAGCACCCCACTGCCCATTCCTGGGTGCAGGTGAGGTTGCCCCTTAAGCTGGGCTTGGGGACAAGAGGTACAGGGGTGTCTCTCTGGGCCCCCCCACCTACCCCAGTTTTCTTCCCTAGAGAATAGCAACCATTACTGGCTCAGTCAGAAATGAAATCTATAAATAGTTCCCCAAGCTCCACTGGGAAGGAAGGTTAGGGAAGTAAGTGGGTGTGGGGAGGAAGGGAGAGGACAGCCGGGTTGGTGTCCATAGAGAAGGTGGTGTTGTCTGTCCTTTCCTGCGGGGAAGAGGAGCGTCCCCACCTGACCGACAACCCCTCAGCATCCTCCATCTAACTAGCATGGCAATAGCGGGGCCAGCCAGGCAGTCGTGACTGAGAGGCAGGAGGAAGGCTTTGTGGACAAAGGTATCCCTGTGAGCTGGGGGGAAGGGATGGAGGGATCCAGCTGGCCTGGAGTGGAGGCCAAGTCTGCAGATGGGGGTGGGGGTGGTAGATACTCATCTTGGGGTCCCCAACCCTCATCTGTAAAGTGCTTCTTGGAGAATCTACATTTTGAGTTAAAAACCTGAATCGGGTTATGGAAGGGGGTGGGGAAGAGCTGGGCGGAACGGAAGGGCTGGGGGTGGGTGGCTTCCTCTGTCTGGGCATCTGGGAACAGACTGCTACATATTTGGAGCTGAAGAAGGTGGGAGGGAAGGGCCCTGGCGCAGAGGCCACCAGAACCGACCATGGTGAGGGAAGAAAGAGATGGGCGTGTGACCAGGGATGCAGGGCAACCGGGGGAAGTTACAAAAGAATCAGAAAGGCTGGTGAGTGGCAATGGAGGTGATCTCCTGCCCCCAGAGCTGGGCTGCTCAGCGTCCAGGCTGTAGTGCCCCACCCGCCCCGTGTCTGGGGTGGAGATGTGACAGACCCAAGGGGGCTGGATCCTTTAAGCCATTACGAATTCAGACTGGATGTCCGGGTTGACTTCAGGCTTCCAGACGGAGTCCTCGAAGTCGAGGCCCAAGCCTCCAGCCTCACTGGGGCTACCTCCGCCTCCGCTGCTGCTGCTGTCACTGCGGCCAGCCTTGCGGCTGGGGGTCCAGTGGTAGGGACCCCGAGCGTCCCGCCGCGCCTTCCTCCGCAGGCGTTTCTGCTGCAGCAGGAGCTGGAGGCGTTCCACTTTGCAGCGTGTGGCACGGTTCTCTGTCTGCCGCAGACGGTCTCCTACAAAGGGAGACCAGGCACCTGTGAGTCTCAAGCCCCCACTGCAGACGCTGGAGCACCAGTCAGCTAGACTCTTGAAAGGCGCGAGGAAGCCCACCGCCCCGGTCTTACGCTATAGTTACTGAAACATGCTGGGGAGGGCAGCCTGAGCTATGGGCTGAGTAAGAGGTGTACAGGGATTTGATCAATGAAAAGGAAAAAAATTTAGTCAGCCACTTGAGAAGTGCAGGAAGGAATTTGGGCTTGGTGGCACATGCCTTTAATCCCAGCATTCCAGAGGCAGAGACAGGAGGATGGGGGACTAGCTAGGTTTACACATAGTAAACTCCAGGACAGCCAGGGTTACATGGTGAGACCCCATCTCAAACAACAAAAAAGCTCAACAGCAAAAAAATGTAGTTTAGTCAATGCATGGATTATTTAGGAAGCAGAGACCAAAGCATTCCAGGTTCAAGACCAGCTTGTACAAGGAAGTAAAAACCCCTCTGAAAATAAAGGGAAGAGCTGAAGGCTTGGCTCAGAGATGGGAGCCCCAGCCTAGAATCCCCAGTGAGGGGCTGGGGGTGTGGTCAGGGTGGAGCTTCTGCCTAAAATTCCCTAGTCAGGGGCTGGCGGTCTCGCTAATAAAATACAAAGCTGGGCGGTGGTGGCGCACGCCTTTAATCCCAGCACTAGGGAGGCAGAGGCAGGCGGATCTCTGTGAGTTCGAGACCAGCCTGGTCTACAGAGCTGGTTCCAGGACAGGCTCCAGAGCCACAGAGAAACCCTGTCTCGAAAAAACCAAAAAAAGAAAAAAAAAAAAAATAGAATCACAAGTGTTAAAAAGCTTGTGCCTCAGTTTCCTACTTTCGTAAACATGCAGCAGGTGATCTAGGTTGAGCAGTGGTCATTATCATCCCACAGTGTGGGTAGGAGTAGGCACATCTGGCTGTGTCAGGAGGGCTAGACCTGACTCAGTCATTCATCAAAGTACCCAAGGCCATCTGGAGATGGGCCTGAGGAGGGGAAGGAGGAAGTGGCAAGGGAGCCCCCTGGAGCACACAAGGACACTCTATGCAGACACAGTTGTCTCTTCTTCCCAGCTGGGGCAGGTCTGGGGGGGGGAGCAGCAGCTGTCAGCTCCAGGGGGTCCCCAGTCCGGTCAGCTGTCCCCTCACCCACCAGTACACAGAGGAGGCCTTGAGAAGCAGGAAGGCTAGTAACAGGGCCACTTACCAGGGGGTTTGCACATTCTGATCTGGCTCTGGCCCTGGAGCAGGGAGGTGGGGGAAGTGGCTCCCAGCTTCTCACAGGAGGTAGTTTTTGGGGTGAGGTCGGGGGCTGGTGAGGCAGGTGAGCACTGGGCATGGCAGCGGAGCTGGGTCAGGGAGGGTGGCATGCCCTGGTAATGCCGCGTGGCACTTAGGAGGTCATTGAGTATCTGCAGAATGGTGCCAATGTCTCGCCGTGGCCGCCCACTGCTGTCTTGGCAGTTGGGATGCAGTGTGCCTGCAAGTGGAAAGGATCGTGAGTCCCAAGGCAGTCCAGATTCTCAGTGTGGCAATGACACAGGCAGACAGGGTAGTCTGCAGTGTCCAGGTCTGGTGGCAGACCATCCGTTATCCCCAGCTACTCAGGATGCTGAGATGTGAAACTCTAAGCCAGTCTGGAGGGACTCTGAAGACCTAGGAACTCTCCCCAATATCACAGTGACCACACATGAACTACAGATGGCGTCCTGTGTGTCCAGAGTCACACCAGTTCATGTCCTAGACTGCTGGGGAAAACCTTTACCCAGTACATGAGATCTCAAGATCACTCCAGTGGTGACACCTACCAGAGAAGGTGCCTGAGAAGACCCCAGGGGCATGGTTCACGAAGCTCTCGATGACGGCACCAGGTTTGCGGGAGCGAGGGGTAGGGCTACTGCCTGGGGTTGAGGTGGCATTGCTGCTAGCCGTGGGGGAACAGTCCATCTGCTAAGAGATTGGAAAATGGTAGGTAGGGTCGTGATGGGTCCACCCCTCAGTCCAGCATTCCAGGTATAAATTCATCGGGCTCAGGGTCAGGGAAGAGCATCTGACAAAGGCTACAGCTGGAGCCCTTAAAATCCGCCCCTGAATACAAAGATAATTATTTCCATCCTCACCTCAGAACAGGTTGTGGAAGCTGCATGGGATCGAAAGGAGCCAGCAGTGACAGGCGAGGGGGACACAGGTGAAGGGCTGCTGGATACCGGGGGGACTCTGGCGGCACTGGACACCGGCCTACAGGGTGAGGACACTGGGGCAGTTACACTGGAATCTCCCCGGGTGGCGGCAGCGGCTGCAGCAGCAGCTGCGAGCACATGGCGGTGCTGGAGCGGGGCGTGCTGGGCAGCCAGTTGCAACTGTACGAACATCATGTGATCCCCAACGCGAAGGGCCAGAGTCAGAGGTGAGCGGCCTGACAGAAAGTCACTGACCTAAAGACAGAAGTAGGGAGACACTCATCAGTTGAGGGGGTTCTCATCCCTGATGCCCCCAGCCCAGCCCAGCCCAGCTCTCCCCGCAGTGTGACCTGGGGCCTCTCGCCGCCCCTCTCTGGGCTCTGGGGTCCCTGTCGGTGCCACGGACGCTTAAATAAAATCAATCTGTATTTCCGGAAGCCTCCTCCGGCAGCCCGGCCTGGCCCGGGTGTCGCTGGGGGCTGTGGGGGGGACAGAGGTGGGTCAGATTGGGGCCTCTGGTTCTGGGTCCGTTAAAGGGGAAACTGAGCCCAGATGGGGCGGGGCCCAGCGGATGATGGTCACTGCCCTCCCTTGAATACCCACCCGCAGCCCCCAGATCCTGCTTGCCTATGAATCTAGTTAAGAAAATCCTCAAGATCCCTTTTAAAGCTAAGACACCCAAGAGGCAGGCTGGATCCTGAAGGAGCTCTAATGGTTAACCTTTGCTTTCCCAAGATAAATATTTATATATCCTGGGGGGGGGGGGGACCGACCTGGAGGCCTGTACCCAAGGGCTTCCAGATGACCTGCCAACCCTTCCCTCCCCCAGACACTCTGTAGGGCTGATTTGTGGGCCTACCTGACCCTTGGATGCCCTGGGCACCCTTTCTCCCACCTCTGGGACCCAGACTATCTGCCTTGTTCTCCCCAGAGGCCAGGGTGTGTGTGGGGGGGAGGTTTCTGAGAAGTGACACAGGCCTATGAGTCACCAGACCGCCTCGCAGAACTCCCTCCCTCCCCTGGCTCTGTTGGCAGAGGGCTGGAGTAACCTTCTCGGCTTGGGGCCCCATGGGGAGGGGATGAAGGGGTGGGCAGGCAGGAGAGCAGCCCCCACCCTGCACTCCCTCCTCTGTGCCCCACATCCTTTACAGGGAAGAGCCTGAAGTGGTTTCTGGGCAGCTGGGATCGCCCCTTTCTCCCAGGGGAAGGGCAAATGGGTGGCCTGCTGAGTAATCCACTCTGGTGACCTCAAGGCTGCACCCAGCACCCACTAACTCCCTCCTGCCAGGCGCACCCCCCCCACAGGCCAGCAAGTGCAAGTCTGCTTAAATTAGCCCGATAGTCACCTTCAGCCCCCACTGATAGCTCCGAGGAACCCCGCCAGAGGCAGGACCACTGGAGTGTTCTGAGGCCCCAGTGTCCACTGCGCCACTAGGCAGGATGCTACGGTTTGGTTTGTAGTCTATGGAGTGAGGGCCATGCCCCTCCTCCTGGGGACAAACTCCAGCTGCCTGTGTGGCTGTGTTAGAGAACTGGAGGAGCTAGGGAACCCGGCTGTGAGAGAGGAGGCCCTGTTATGGTTAAGAATGGGGAGGGGGGTGCTCAACAAAACCTGGAAGCCTCCTCAAGAGCCAGGCCCAGCCTCCCTCTGGGCTGCTTACTAAATATTTTCTTAACATCCTGTCTAGGCCTCCCTGGCCCAGGGCTGGGTGCCCCTGCCTGCCCCTCCCCCTGCCAGGGCAGGGAACAAAGGCCAAGAGACAGGAGGGGGATAGGATGACTGCCGCTGCTTGCTGCTTTGCCTTGGCCGTGCTAAGTTTGGTCGGCTGGCTTCCCCAGAGGCACAGCTCTCCCAAATGAGGATTTTTTTGTTTTGGTTCAGATTTTTTTGGGGGGGGGGGCTCTAGATTAAGAGTGTGCCGGGCTGTGGAGGATACAAGTTCCAGCCAGCTCAGGTCAAGGTCACCCATGGTTAGGACTGGTCAAAAGATTGGACTCCCCCACCCCCACCCGTGGCAGTCACCGTGGGAGAGAAAACTTCTCAAGGTCAAGTGGTCAGGTGCTGGGGGAGGCAGGGAGGAAGAGGAAGCCTGGTGACCAGGCCAAGCTGGCACCGAGGTGGGGCTTTCATCCCTTCCCCCACAGGCCACCAGGGAAGCACAAACAACTGGAGGCTCTAAGGGTGTCCAGAGAGTTGCGTGGTCCCTAGGCGTAGCCGCTGCCTGCAGCCCCCCCCCCACCCGCCGGGTTAGGGAGAGGGTGGCGGTTGCTTACCTGGGTCTCGGTCAAACTTTCCAGAGCTTGCATAACGGACTGTTCCGGCCTCGAGGCCTGGGACTACAAGAGAGGGACGAAAAGTGTCTTCAGTGTAGGTTTGGAGCAGGGAATGGGGAGGGGGCCCTATGTGCTGGGGGTGGGTGGGAGAGCTCTTTGTAAGGGGCAGGATGGTGCATTTAAGCAATGAGGTGGCCAAGAGACAGGAGCCTCCAGGGCACGCGTCCCTCAGTCATTTACCATGAGGCCAGCTTCCACAGTGGGCACGAGCGTCAACTTGCTACCATCCCCCACGCCGAATTCCTGCAGCTTCCCCGAACTGAGCCGGCTGGGGGTAGGAAGGAAGAGGGTGAGACGGGAGACAACACCGAGACGCGGAAGCGGAGGCCGAGGAGGAGGGCTGTGCGTGCGCGGGGGGGGGGGGGGAGACGACAGGGGAGCGCTTCCCACCCTTACCGCTCCCCAGACCCAAGTGCCGGTGAGGAGGCCTCTCACTCCTGTGAGCCCTCCCCATTAACCAGCTGACTGAACTCCAGGTTAAAGCAGCCTCCCATCTGCAAGAAACAAGACTTTTCCATCACCTGAACCCCCGTGGGCTCTTTGCCACCCTCCCCCGCGCCCCCCTCCTGGGCAGCTCCTGCCTACAACTCCCCAATTCTTGTCCGGGCTCGTCTTTGTGGGCGCCGCGGGGCTCCGGCCCTTTCTGATAGAGGCCTTCGGGGGCTCCGCCGACCCGGGCTCTCCCCCTCCCTCTCCGGCACAGTCTGCTGCTCAAACAAAGGAGACCCTCCCCCCTCGCCCCTCCCCCACCAGGGCCCCTCCACTGGGGATGGACACTGCGTGTCCCCAGAGGCCCGCGAGGGGATGAGGGGAGGGGAGACTCCCTGGCCTGGAGGCGATTTAAATACCGGATTGGGGGAGGTGTGGGGAAGCGAGAACAAAGGGGGGCAGAGAGACGTAAGTGATGGGGAGACAGCCAGACGCAGAGGGGGCCGCCGAGCAGATGCGGAAGCGGCGAGACCGCGGGCACAAGAGGGGGCGGCTGTGCGCCCCCCCAAGGCGCACAGAGACTGGACCCCTCCCAGTGCCATCCCAGAGGCCCACGTCGGTCGTGCCACCCCCGTAGTTCCCGTGCATCTTGGGGCCCCGCAGGGCGCTCCTGCCTTTGTGCAGACCCTGGCGGGGGAGGGGGGCCCCAGGCAAGTAAAGTAAGACCGCGCAGAGGGCGCCCGAGAGCGCGCGGCGCGCCCCCCCCCCCCCCCCCCCGTCTGGCTGCCCCCTGCTTCCCAGCGCGGCGCGCTCTTTGTTTCCGCCCGGGGCCCGGGCCCGAGGGGGCGGCCTGGTGCCAGGGGGCGCGCAGGCGAGGGCGGCGCGCTACCTACGTGTCTTTGTGAAGCAGAGCCAGGCGCTCCTTGGGTACTTTGAGGCGTTGGGATAGCCTTTTGCGCAGCCCTTCCACGGTCTCGTCGTGGGGCACCGACAGGTCGTAGCGAGTCCCCGTGGTACTGTGGATCGCCAGGGTCATAGGTGAGGCCGACTCCGTGGCCGTACTCAGATCGCAGGCGCCGCCGGGGGCCCCGCGCCGGCAGCTTCGGGCGCCGCCGGGCTGCGGCTCCATCCCCGGCGAGCGCAGGAGGCCTGGGGGCCGCGGGTCGCCTCCAATCCTCGTCGGGACTCCCCCGCCGAAACGAGGTCCTCTTCCGCTCTGCGGGTGCTCAGGGACCGGAACAGTGCGTGTGCCCCTTAGGGAAGGTTCCCAACGTTAGCAAGCGAGCCGGCAAGCAAGAATCCGAGTGGTGCTCTGGGGTCGCGTGGGATCCCTGGGTTGCGCCCCGGGGTGGGGTCTACGATCCGGTTTCTTCAAGGCGCAGGGAGGGTCCTACAGAAGGGGTCGAGCTATCCCGGCTCGCACGGTGCCTGGATTCCTCTCGGGTCTTGCTACCCCGCGCGTCCCTTCCCTTAGCAACAGCAGCAGCCGCGGCTCGCAAGATCTGGGGGTGAAAGTACGAAGGAAAAAAAAGTTATCATGTATCAACGTTCCAATGGGCGGGACCACCGCCCCCTCCCATTCACTACTTACTCCGCCGGCCTAGCGGCAGCCAATGAACACACACATATCGCCCAGTCCGTCGCGATCCCGGGCCAATGGGAATCGCCGCAGGGCTACCCCACGTGGCAGTGAGACCCCTCCCTCCCCATACCCCGCCCCATCCCTTCTGCATCCAATGGAGACGCGTAGGGTTGGGCTGATGCGGCTCCTGACCCGCCCCCGCGCCCCCACCCGCGCCCAGAGCCATTCATAAGGCCCAGAGTTCTCAACAAAGGGCGGGCGGGCCCGGACCGGAGCCGACCCGAGTTCGAAGACTTGGCACCTCTCTTTCCCCCAACTACCCTCCGCGCGAGCACAGCCCCCCTTCCTCAAGGGGGAGAGGTCTGGGGAAGAGGCGAGGACCGACCATTGTTCCTGACTAAGGGAGGAACAGGAAATCGTGGGGCCTCCCTACTGGGTCTGTCCGGGAAGCAACTGCCTGCGGAAGCTGCAGCTTGAGCCCTGAGCCTCGTGGCCAAGGGTCGCGGGCAGGACTCTCAAAGACAGGCCAGTCCTCCACCCCGTGGGTGGGTGGGTGGATGCAACGATATTGGAGAACCTGGGCGGGACCCACGGCCTGGGCGGGGCCCTGCAGCTCCGTGACGTGGCTCCGATTAGATCCGTCCCTACCGAACCTGTGCCACTTGGCGTCCCAGCCTAGTCCACCGTTCCCTATTTTTTCTGTGCCCCCCCCATCCCGGGTCGGCCCGTTTCTCGAGGTGCGCCCGTCCAAGCCGTGACGTGACGCGGCGTCCCCGGCTGCGCCCGCGCGCGCCCCGCTCCGGGCAAGCGGTGAGTCAGCAGCCCCGGCGCGCCCTCTGCAGTCCCCACCCGGGAGCGCTGCCCGAGTCACGGGGGAGGGGGCGCAGAGACTTTTGAGATCTGCAGGTGGGGAGGCCCCATTAAGAACCTTTAGATTTAACAAGCGGAGATGTCTAAGACCGCACAAACGGGGAAACTGAGTCTGGATTTGCAACTAGTTCAAGGTCACTGGTTGGAAAGAAGGAGTGCGCGGGGGGGGGGGGGGGGGGGGGGGGGGGGGGGGGGGGGGGGGGGGGGGGGCGTGGGCTGCGGTCCTGCCAGGGCGGTGCCCATTGCGCGTGGTCCCTCCTACCCCACAAGCTGGAGGGCTCCCCGTCCCAAGGCACCCTAGGTGCAGACGGTTCAAAGAACAAAGAGTGGGGCAGCCTAAGGAGTCCACGGCGGGTGGAGACCCTTCTGCCCCTCGTGCGGCCCCGCCCCTACTCACCCGGAGCCGCAGGACGCAGGTCCTGGGTCACCACTGCTCCAGATGACCTGCGTGCAGGTCGTGGTGAGAGGTGGCCCTGCTGGTCTGGGGACAGGCGGGCAGCCCCTGAGCCTTTATCCGCGCCGCCTTCCCTGGGGTGGAGTTTGGGCGGGCAAGGGGCGGGGGGCTGGGCGATGGTGACGCATCTACCCCCCCACACCCTCCCTCCTGCTGGCCTGGGGCCGGGACACCCGGCCTTAGGGCTTCACAGCACCCATAGGACAGTGCCTCGGCCGCTGCGATCGGCTGGGATAACTCCTGACTCCCCAAGTACTCTGAAACACCTCATATTAGCAGGGGGGTGGGGGCTTTCTGGCCTGTTTCCCTGCCCCGCCCCCTTCCCTGCTGCCCTGGCGCTTCCGCCTGGGGGCGCCCGCGTGGGTAAGGGGGGCGGGACGGGAAGGGGTTCCTGAGTCAGCAGCCTGGGTCCAGGAAAACAGGGCAGTGTCACCTGCCAGACAGTGGGGTGTCCCAGACAGCTGCCTGATAGCCTGGCCTCTGCATCCTTTACCGGTGACCTCAGAGGCCATTTTTGTTATGGTTCAACCACTCCTGACCTGCCTAGGCCAGTCAGTGTGTGACCTCCATGAGTAGCCCTGTCCCTGAGGCACTGTGCTGTGGCGCATGTGGTCAGGGTTTAACCTGTGGGAGTTCTCCCCACTGCATATGGGTCCCAGGAATGAGCCCAGGTCATCGGCCTTGGTGTAGCCAAGCGCCTAGAGGAGAGACTCCACGGGCATCCTGCACCCCCAGGTGTGTGACCCCTGGTCATCACCTCATGAATGCATTGACACACACTGGCCTTTGGAGTGCACGCTTACCCACCCTGTGGACCAGGAAAGCAGCCCTTTGGCCAAGGCCGCCACTTGAGTGGCCTCAGCAGGGGGGTTCTCGAAGGTGACAGAATGGGGCCAGACCCTTCAAGGTACTCTAGACCCTGCTCTACCACCTCCTGTCCACTTCTCCAGTCTGGCCTTTATCTGGCCTGAGTGTCTCCACCACCCTACCCTGGGGCCCCTCCCAGGCCAGTTCCTTCCTAGGTCTCCTTCCTGCTCTGACTGATCACTCTGGACAAGCATGCTGGGCCCCCAAGCAGGGAGGTGTGCCCCAACACTCCCAGTCCAGAGAACACTTGGAGGCCCAGGAGCTCTGAGAGATGAGCAGGAGTTGGTTCAGGAAGTAGGGAGACCTTTACCATTCAGAGTTGTAGGTGTGGAGGTCAGAGGTGAGGCTGGCCTCAGGAGGGATCACAGAGAATGTGGTGTGGGCTGGTGGCAGGTGAGGTAGGCTGGCCCTGACAGGACACTTAAGCTGGAAGCTTGTAATAAATGCTGACTAGACTTCCTGCTTCCTAGCTCTTATTCCTATGTCTCTAGGTGTGAAGCCTCAAGACTCAGTGGCTCTTTCCAGGCCCTGCCCTCTGGGCTCCGTCTCAGCCAGCGCAGGCTGTCCTGTCCTGAGGCCTGGCCCCAAAGCTCACACCTCCTCTTAGGAGTGGGAGGGTCTGAGCGACTCACACTACAAGGTACACTCGTCCAGGCCAGGCCATTCCAAGGGCTCCTGTTGACATCTGCCCAGGCTGTGTCTTTGGTCTGACAGGGTTCCTAATGGTCTGGTCAGCCAAGACCTGGGCTCTCAGCCTGAGAACAGAGTGGAACCTGGGCAGGCCTGCCCGCACACCTCTAAGCCCCTGTGACTTACCTGGGAATACCCCCAGGCTGCTAATACGTGGAGGGCTCCAGCACATTCATTCCCAGATCAGGCTCATGTGGCCATGGCGAGTCACCCAGAGGGCCCTGATACAACATGACAGGGTGTACTCAGACCCTAGCTGGCATGCTGGTCACTTGTCGAGATGGTTCAGATGACCTCATAAGGGCAGGCTCTGACCCTGCTCATCCTCCCATCCCCAAACTGGTGCCCCTCTCAGGCCCCTGAGGAGGACGCAGGTCAGACAGTAACCGGCCATCTGGGGTGAGGGTGGGGTGTAGAAAGGGATGCACTGGTGCCACCTCACCCCACCCAAGGCCAAAATGCCTAAGAAGGTACCAACCACACCAGGGACTGGGAAGGTAGCCAGCCAGGCTAGGGCCACCCACAGGTGGGGTGTGCCTAGGGCCGGGCCTCCGTGGGAGCAGGTGGTGCCTGCCTCTTCCCAGAGCCTGTAGGGTGGGGGCAGGGGGCCTTAAAGGGAGGGCCTGGCCAAGCTGGTGGTCTGGGTACTGAGCCTGGCCAGCAGCTGTAGCGGTATCCACCATTGCCTGCCCTGCTCTCAGTCCTTGCCTATCCCACCCAACCCCGCAGGCAGCAGCCCAACAGCCAGCCAGCATGTACCCCACCCACTGCTGTCTGCACACCTCTGGGGGCCCAGATACAAGAGCCCCAGGCAGGGGTTGGGGTCCTAGCTTTGTGCTATGCAGAGTCAGAAACCAAAATGCTCAGTTGGTTCCTGGTGTTTAATGGAGGCAGGCTGGGGCAAGCTGACTGTCCAGGAGGCTCTGAGGGGGAAGGAGTGCCAGCTCTCCCAGGCGATGGGGATCCCAGGCTGTGAAGGCTGGGGAAAGACTTCCAAGGCAGGCAAGGCATCAGGACGCTTAAGTCAGCAGTTGGAGCACTGCTGCCCTCTGGTGGCAACTTCAGCAGCAACCAACTGTCGGGATTTCAGGAAACAAGTTTTCAGCTGCTGGTACCTGCCTCAGTTTCCCTGTGGGTGACAGACATTGCACGCCTACTCCAGGGCCTTCACCAGGGCCTCATTGGCCTCAATACGGATCTGGATCTCAGCCCGAGCTGCCTCATCCGCTGCACCAGACAGCTCCGACTGCGCCTTCTCCAGGTTGGCCCGGGCTGCCTGCAGAGGAGTGGGCCATGATGAGGGCCAGGCAAGGCCAAGCAAAAAAACATCCACACTCCTGCAAGCTGCCTCCCTACCAGCCAGGGGACTCTTGAGCAGTACCCGCCCCCGCCCTGAACCTGCTTCCACATCTGCTCACCCCTAGGTCCAACATGTCCAGCGTCACAGCTTCCTCGGCCAGTAACTGCACTGAGGAGTCCGCGTTCACAGTGATGGAGCCGCTGCTCACTGCGGGAAGAAAGGGCTGAGCAGACCCCTCCCCGGGACACCCCAGTCTCTGCCTCTAGTCCAGGGTGACCCCACAGACTGGCAATGAGGTCCAGCTGTGGCTCGAGCACACCTGTCATCCCAGGCCCTGGGAGGCACCAGTGTAAAAGAGGCGCTGGGGCCAAGGCTCAGCTGGCAGTATGCCTGCCCGTCATGTAAAAGGCCCTGGGCTCAGTCCTCAGCGTGGCAGAAACCTGTCACCTCCAGCACTCAGGAGGTGGAGGGGAGGATCAGGGGCTCAGAGTCAGCCTGGGCATAGGAAACCCTTCCCTAAAAACAAAAACAAAAAGAGAAGAAACAGGAAGGCCCAGGGCCCCTTGGGAGAAGCACTCACGGGAAAGCCAGGCATGGCCAGAGCTGCCTGTAAACCTCACGCTGGGGAGTGGACAGGGCAGTGACGCGGCTCACTGGCCAGCCGCCCTTGGTCAGGGGGATACTCCAGCTTCAGTCCCTCTCTGAGAGGAGTTAAGACAGTGCCTTTATGTGTGTACAACACATACAACCTTCTCGTCCTCACCCCCACGCCCACCTTGTCAGAGACGAGACCTCTCCTTCATCTGGAGAAGGGGTGACATGAGAGAAAACCATCCGCCCGGAAACATAGGTCTTTCAGACTGGCTCCTTCCTACACCAAAGCTGACCTACCCTGAAGCAAGTTCCTCAACAGCCACCTGTATGTCTCTTCCTTTGTCAGCTGAGGTCTCTCTGTGCCCCAGATGGCTGCATCTTGGTCTTGGTGAGCTGCGCAAGTCTTTCCTTTGCTTTCTCCATGACCTGTGGGGATCTGAGCCTCTATTCACCCTGGGCCACACTCACCAAAATACTTAGTTGTGGTGCCGTCTTCGGCATGGACCACCACCAGCCCAGGCCGTAGGACCTGCAGCGTGGGAACGTGGGATGCCAGGATGCCAAAGGCTCCAGTCAGCGTAGGCACGTCCACCTGACGGACGTTGGCACCGTCAAAGAACACCTGCAAGAGAGTGTAGAGTGTGGAAGTGGGCATTACCCGGTGCCCCGAGACAGGGCTTTCCTAGTGCCCACAGTAGACTTGGCTTGCTTACCTGGGAAATGGGATGTCTAAGCAGTGTCGAGGTGACTGAAAGAGGGCAATGCTGGGCACGATGCTAATCTTGGAGATGGGGTTTCTGGGAAAACCTAAGGCTGTCCTCCCTCCTCAGGAGTTGCTATACAAGGCTGGACAGTGCAAGAACACCCTAGGTGGCCTTGTGAGGAGGCCAAGTGCAGTTGGCAGAACCTTGGCTAGGGCCTGCGGAGTGCAGGGTTTTGGGTTCAGGTGAACATTTTGGGACAAGTAGCTTGGGGTCAGTCCCAGGCGACCCTTCAGTGGCAGGATCTGGGCCTAGCCAATCACTAAGAACAGCTCTGGATGTGGGTACTGGTGACTCCTCCATGGGTAGGGAGGAGGATCCTTGTGACCCCCAAGGGGATGGCTCTGTCCGTGGTTCAGATGAATCCTACGGTTCAGGTAACACCACCTAAGTCTTGGTTCATAAGGCCTAGAATACAGTGATCCACCCAAGAATGGGGTTTGGATGACCTGTATCAAGGTGTAAGGCATGTAGTCCAGGGGACACTCCCTTAGAGGGCAAAATCCGGGGTTCAGGTATAGGCGAACCTCAAAGTGGTGGAGTCTTAGGCACGCGTAAAATTTTCGTCAAGGGGCGGAGTCTGGGGAGGGGGTCATGCGGCCCCTGTGGGGGTAGAACTTGAGGCCCAATAGAGGTGACCCCACGTGGGTCAAGTCGGGGACTTGGTGACCCTGGGGGCTGTGAATTCGCACCTGCGTCGGAGAGGCGAAGGTGAAGGACATCTGTCCGGGCCCGGCGGCGGGGGCCGGTGCTGCAGCGGCCTCGGCGTAGGCACGCGCCTGGAGTACCAGGCGGCGTAGTGGAGTACGGCGAAGCAGTGCGGCGGGCAGCATGGCGGCTAGAACGACAACGGACTCTGGTGGCACGTTTAGCGGACACACCGGGACAGAGAGGCGGCCTTGAGAGAGGGCAAGGAGGACGACGACGCGCGCGGAGCCTGCTGGGAGGCGCAGTTCCCACAAGTACGCAGGCGTGCACTACAATTCCCGGTAGGCCGCGGGCGAAGCAGAGCGCGCTAGGCATTCTGGGAGGTTTCGCGCTAGGCATTCTGGGAGGTTTAGTTTGCCTTAGCAACACCTCCTGCAATGCTGCCTAGGAATGGGTGAAGCCTAGTCAGTGTGGTTTATTCTGGGAATTGTAGTTTTCTTCGCCTTCAAATTGCAAATGACGCCCTCGGTTAGGCTGTTCTGCAACCGTACACCTGCTCGCAGGAGGGGACGTTTACATTGAAGGGATGCCCGCTTGATGACAAGTGCATTCGAGGTAAAAAAGAAGCAAACCTGTAATATGTTGGGAGATAATTAAAATTTAGACTACCAACCAGGTGTGGTGGCACACTCCTGCAAATCCCAGCATTCGGGAGGCCGACAGAGGAGGATCACCGAATTTCACGACACACAGTAAGAACCTATTTCTAAAAGTGCAACTGAATACGTTTTTAAAAACCAAATTTATGCCAGGTGTAGTTAATCACAGTTCTCCGGAGGCTGAGGCAAGTGGGGCTTCTATGCGTTCAAGACTTTCCAGGTCTACATAATGGAAACATGTCTATAAATAAATACATAAAGACAAATTTATGATGCCGGCTAAGGTGCATGCTGGAGAGAGGTCGTATCTAGAGAGGGGAGGCGGGCAATTGAGATTACAGAGCGGCATGTACCTCGGAGCCGGCAGAGGGCGCGCGAAGCCTGGAGATGTTCTCGCTCCTCTCCGCAGTCCCCGCCCTCCCTGCGGGCCTCCGCCCCCGCGCGCCGCTGACGCAGGAAAGCGTGCGCGGGCGGCGGGGGGGGGTCTCCATTGACGTCTTTTATGTCTGCGCAGCCTCGCTCTCGGCCATGACGTCACCACCCCGCCCCCGCAATCACGCAGGTTCCAACCCCTGCTGAGCTCTTGGTGCCCATACCACCCCATGTTGGATCACAAAAAATGCAGGTTTAGGGTTGGTGGGTGCACAGTAGGAAAATCGTTGGCTTAATTTAAAGGATTCAGTGTTGAACCTTAAGGAAGCAGCTGGCAGCTAGAGGGTAGTGGTTACTCTTGAACCCGGGGTCTGGCAGATGCTAATGTGATTCCTTTTGTGATTCTCCAAACTCTAGACTCTGGGCCTCAGATCTATGCAATAGCCTAGCAGTCATGGCCTCAATCAAGCGCCACGAGAGACATCGGGTTCCCAATCCCTATAACCTGGACACTTTCCTGGGCAGTGGGCGGCTAGAAACTCCATTCCTTTCTCCAGATGCTTCCTGTACGAATGTCCCAGCTCTTAAACACACATCCCCGTCCCAGAACTCCGTATCTATCCAATGCTCCAAGAAGCAAGAACCCAAACTTAGGACATGCGTGTCCTGTCCTGTTCTGTCCACCAGACATAGCCACTGTACTTCATCGAACGAGTCTTTGAAAAACTAAACCCAGGGTGCTGGAGAGAGTACTACTTTTCCAGAGGACTTGAGTTCCATTCACAGTGTACGGCTGCCTGCAGCTGCAGCTTCAGAAGACCTATCCTTTTCTGGTGTGTGCGCACATGTGCACGCACACACGAAGCACACACATAGAGAATTTAGTATTAAATTCGGGAGCGGTGACACTCTTGAGCATAAGAGGCAGCCTGCTCTGTCTACATAGTGACTTGCAGACAAGAATCCCTGCGTCAATACCCTTCACTAAATCAAAGGAGGCTGGTGTCCCAGAGATCAGTGTAAGGCGCCCATCTACAAGACAGACTCTTCCACCGGTAGGTCCTGGGAGCGTGGGCTTAGAATGGGACAGATCCTGGGTTGGAACCCGAGTATCAACAGGAAGAAAAAATAATTGGTTGCAAGGAATTGTCTGGAATGGGTCATTAAAATTCTTCCTACATTAGCCGGGCGATGGTGCACGCTTTAATCCCAGCACTCGGGAGGCAGAGGCAGGCGGATTTCTGTGAGTTCGAGACCAGCCTGGTCTACAGAGCTAGTTCCAGGACAGGCTCCAAAGCCACAGAGAAACCCTGTCTCGAAAAACAAAAAAAAAAAAAAAAAAAAAATCTTCCTACATTCATTTAGTTAGTGGGCAAGGAGGCAGCAAATATTCGGACGTCGAAGGACAACTTGTGGGAGTAGGTATTCTTACCCTGTGGGACCCAGGGATGGACCGCAGGTCCTTGGGCTTGGCTGTAGGCACCCTTGTCTGTTGAGCTCAAGCTGGCCTAGAATTCTGTGTCGTTTGATTGGCCTTGCACTCCTGATTCCCTTGATTTCATATCCCAGATGCAGGTGTGCACCATCACAACCAGTTTTGCGTGCAAGTTTGAGCTGTGTGGGTATCATTGGATATCTGGGGTGTAGGGGAACGAAGCCAGGCGTGTGGGAGAAAAATGTACATAGACCTCACGGCTTGTAGACTACGGAGATCTACATACTGGAATTGAGCACCCGAGTGGCAGGTGAGAAACTAGACAGCCTAGGGTCCCCCAGACTTGAGATACCCAGTGTTAGGGGAGGGGGAAGGACGCAGTGCGCCCACGCACAATGTTCCGGGACACTGCAGCACCAGGTAAGCTGAGTCGTGCAGCGGTGCGGGGGGCGGGGCCGCCCGGCCGCGAGAGGGGGCGCCCGGAGCTCAGGCTCCGCCCCCCGCCCCCGCCAGAAGGGAAGGGGAGGCGGTGGCCAGCGCGCAGCGAGCCAGACGCGGCGGCAAGAGTGGCGGGGGCGGTCAGGCTGCGGGACCGGGCGGCTACCCGGTGCACCGAGCCAGGGGCCTGAGCGGGCGCACCGCCAACGCAGTCACGTGCGCTGCCCCTCCTCTCTCGCACACCTCCTCAGCGCGCCGCGCTCTCCATTCATAAATTCTCCGCCGGCTCCGCGGCCACCGAGCTCCAGAGCCAACCGGGAGCGCCTTGCATCCGCCACCCGCCCTCCCGCCGCCCATGGGCCGCACGCCCCGGCGCTGAGGTAGGCGCGGCGGACCCTGGCGCACAGGGACGGGCGGGGACGGGCGGGCGGATACGCGCGGCCAGGGGATGGCGACCAGCTCCCGGGCCCGCCCTGACCCACCAGTCCTGCCGAGCGCGATCACGCGTGGCTTCGGGGAGGGAACGGAAAGTGGGAAAGGCTTGAGCCGCCCTGCACCCCGCGTACCGTCGGCAGCCCGGAGAGGGAGCCCGCCCGTGCCGGCCCTCGGCCTCAGTTTACCCTAGTGACAGAGCGAGAGCAGTGTCGCCGTGGCCTCCTGGATCCGCATGAACCTGGCATCGGGTCCTCTGCGGGGGGGGGGGGGAGGCTTCCTGTAGGGACCCCTTGTCTAGGCTGGCGTCCTCGCTGGCCCTCATGACTCCACCTTATTCGCCTTGGATCTCCACCGTCTTCCTGTCACTCCCATCACCATCCTTACCATGCCCCACCCCCCTACAGCCTGAATTCTTTGCCCGACCTACATTAGCGCCCCTTGCCGCCGGCCAAAATTGTTGCCTGCTGTTCTCAGCCCCGGAGCGCTGAGGACACGTAACCTTTCGGGGGGGGGGGGAGGGCACATTCGTTTTATCTGGGTCTACGTCTCCCCAAAACTCCCTTGCGGTCCGAAAGCACTGGCGACGCTGGAGCCTGCGAGCTCTTTTTCGATGGGGTTAGGTGTTTGCGTGCTCACGCTTGGTATGGGAACTAGGGATGGCTGGCCAGAGCGGCCCCTGACACCCCAGGATCCTCCCCATTTTCTGAATGAGTCAGGTGGAATTTTGAGCAGCCCCTTCCTGAATGTTGCTCCCCACCCCAACCCGAAACGTGCCCTAGTCTCAGTTTCCCCACGCTCCTGGTGGAGGAGCCATCTTGGCCGCGGCTCGGGACGCCCCTGCGGGCGGCCTCCCCCGCGCCCCCACCCGCGTCCCACTGCCTGGCAACCCGCCCCCCCCCCCCCGGCGCGGCCCTGCGCACCGTCGCCATGGGAACCAGATTTTTCAGGCCAGGAACAGATGAGCGTCTTTTGTCCTTTCCACTCCCACCAGTGTGGGGCACGGGGACCATTCCCTCTGGAGTCGTGACTTGGGTGTGGAGGGGGTCACTGGTGCAGCCCCTCCCTCGGGTGCGCTGCCTTCAATTCCTTTTCTATCCCCTGAGACCCGAAGGACACCTGGGATCTCGACAGAATGTACTGTGGGACTTCATGTCCCCTTCTTCCAAGGGTGATTTCCCTTTCGTGGGCATGGATGGGCTACCTTGCTGGGCCGGCCGCACCGGCCAGCCAGGGAGGTGGCTGGGATGTAGGAGAGCCACTTGTACATAGACACACACGCACTCACTCCTGCGCACGCGCACGATGCCACCTTCTATGTGATAAAGATGGCGAAAGAGAGGTCCTGGGAAAAAAGCCCTGGCTCCAGGCGCCCTAGGGAGTGGGTGTGTGTGTGGGGTGTGGCTCACATTGCCCCACCTGTCCATGAGTCACACCAGTGACGGCAGCTGATGCTCTTGCACGGGGATGGTGGGGGCTGACTTGCAGGGGCTCCTGTGGGGAGGGGCTGGCAGAGCTGAGCCTGAGCTGGTTCTATGCCCTACCTGTAGCCTCAAAATGCAGCCCACGGCCACCATGGCCACAGAGGCCACTACCACCGCCACGGTTGCCCTGACGACTTCGTGGGACAATGCTACCAGCCGCCCCACGGTGGGTGGTGACTCCTGGAAGTGGGGGTGGGGTGGAATAGAAAGGAGCCCTCCTGACACTTCCCATCCCGTGCACCTGACCCCCTCCCCTCAGGCGGAGCCCGACCCCATCTTGGACAACTATGTACTGCTGGTGGTGGTGATGTCGCTGTTCATCGGGGGCACGCTGGTGGTGCTGTCTGGCGTTCTTCTGCTCTGCAAACGCTGCTGGGAGGTGCACCAGCGCTTCAACAGGTGCATACCCAGGGAACCTCTTTGTGACACGCCCAGGTGGTGCCTACAGAGCCCCACAAGTGGGGATCCCCATCACTGCTCACTCCTCGCTTTCTTACTCAGGGCCATGGATGAAGCAGAGAAGACCACCACTACTTACCTGGACAACGGCACCCACCCTATACAAGGTGAGGGGCCCGCGTGGTCCGCAGCATCCTTAGCTGCACTTGACTGTGCCTCCCGCCGCGCCCCGCCCCTCGGCCCCCTGCCCGCCCCCTCGGGCCGCCTGACGGTCTGTCTGTCTGTCTCCCCCACCAGACTGGGCGCAGTTCGAGTCCGACTCATCTCTGTTTCCTTAACGCCCAGGCGTAGGTGCGCACAGGCGCGTGCTGAGAGCGAGTGAGTGTGTGAGCGGATGAGCGAGTGCCCGCCGCCCCGCCCAGCCCGCCCTGTCCTGCCCTCACTCGGCCCGCGCCCCCCTCCCGACCTACCCCTGCCCAGCAGCCTGCCTGGCAGCAAGACACGCGAGGCCCACCCGGGGTCCACCCTCTCTTGACTCTCCTCACAGACCCCGACTGCAGGGGGGAAGACCCCGAGAGCCAGGACACCGAGACAGAGCGCTTCCTAGCCACCAGCTCCACCGGCCGCCGCGTGTCCTTCAATGAGGCTGCCCTGTTTGAACAGAGCCGCAAGGCTCAGGACAAGGGCCGCCGGTGAGGGAAGCCAGGGGGAGGTCACAGCTTGGTGCTGAAAGCTGGGGACCCTGGCTCAGGCCTTTTGGTGTGGGCTGGCAGGGAGGTAGTAGAGAGTATCATATTAAGGTATAAGCTATGGTTAATGTGTTGAGCACACTGCAGACGGAGGCAGGAGGATTACCAGAGTTACTTTTAAATGTTTATTTATGTGTTTCTGTGTGTTTATGTACACGTTGGTGCAAGTGTCCATAGAGGCCAGAAGAGGGCGTCAGATCTCCCTGGAGCTAGAATTACAGGTGATTCTGAGTAACCCAGTATGGGTCCTGGAAACCCAACTCAGGTCCTTTGCAAGAGTAGTAGGTGCTATTAACACCCGAGCCATTGTTCCAGCTCTGATGCTGCAAATCTGAGGCCTGACTGGCCCACATAGGAAGGACCATGGCTGGCATGGGTACATGCGGTTCAAGACCTGCCTTTAAAGGGAAACGCCAGGTATGGTAGTGTGTACCTGTATTGCCAGCCTGTGGCCAGCAGAGGCAGGAGGATTGCTGTGAAGTTCAAGGCCAGCCAAGGCTTGAGAGTGGTACCTCAAAGAACAAAAACAAACAAACAAACAAAAACCCAAAAGGGGGATGTTGAGTGTGGCAAGAGACAGAGGCAGAGGGTGCTCTGTGAGTTCAAGGCCAGCCTGGTCTACACAGAGACCTGATCTAGAAAAGTGAACCAGCAGTGGTCCCAGTACCTGGTAGACAGATGGAGGCAAGGGAATCAGAAGTTTAAAGTCATCCTTGAATGGGGAGTAGATGGTAAAATAGATGTTCCTCTAAGGGCTGTCAAGAGCTGATTGTCGGGGGTCCCCCAACATAGGTATACCCTGACAGAGGGGGACTTCCATCACCTCAAGAATGCCCGTCTCACCCACCTCCACCTACCGCCCCTCAAGATCGCTACTATCCATGAGTGTGACCCGGGCGAGGCCAGCTCAGTGGCCACACCCCACCCAGCTACCACCCCTAAAGACAGCTTGGCTATTTTCCAGGTAAGGGTCAGTGCTGCAGCCAGCCCTGGTCCTCGGCAGAATGGTGGTGGGTACCAAGTGGAGTCCTGGCTGGCTGGGGTGGGGAAGTGGGACCTCCCCCTCACCTCTCGTCCTCTCTCAACCTCTCTATCTCACAGCCCCCCGGGAAGGCCCTCACTGGCCACGCAGTGGGTCCCAGCTCTGTCCTGCCAGGTGATCCCTACAACTCTGTGGACTTCTCCGAGATCAGCCCCTCTGGCTCCAGCGACTCTGGGGAGGGCACCTCGGTGAGGAGGGTCCCCTGTAAGAGTCAGGCTGGTGGGAAGGGTGCTCAGCTCCTCTCAGCCCAGGGAAGAGAACTAGACAGGGTCCAGGAGGGCGGAGCCAGCCTGAAAGAGGAAGCTAGAAGGGTGATCCCTTGCTTAGTGGGGACCCAGGGGGGACTCCATGCCTGACAATCGTCCCTGCCCCCCCCCGTTCCCCAGTTAGATGCAGGTGCCCGGGGTGCCAAGGCTGCCGGGCCTGGGCCTGAGGCAGCACTTGGGGAGATAGGCACAGGCTCCTCGGGGCCAGGCCCTGTGCTGCAGTTCTTCACACGGCTACGCCGCCATGCCAGCCTGGATGGGGCTAGTCCCTACTTCAAAGTCAAGAAATGGAAGCTGGAGTCCAGCCAGAGAGCGTCCAGTCTGGACACAAGAGGTAAGGCACCCCGGAGTGACCGTGACTGCCAGGGGCCGTCTGGATGGAGGCCTGGCAAATGGGCAGGAATTCCCAGGGCCTGCGTGTCTCCTAGGCAGGTGACCATCCTGTAACTTGTGACCCCAGGCTGAGTGTCCACCCTACATTCCCAGGACGTGTGTGCACTGGTGTGGTGCTCCCCGTCACCTGTCCACAGCTCCCTGGACCTCCACCAGTCCTTTGGCCTGGTTAGGCTTTGGCTTTATTAGAACAGTCACAGGGCCTGTAGCGGGTAAGGTCCCGGCTTCCACTTCCAGTACCACATAAACCCAGTGTGGTACTGCATGCCTCGGCACTCAGGAGGAGGACAGTAATTCAGAGCTAGCCTCAGCTACGTAGTAGGCTTGAGGCTACCCTTGGCTACATGACTACATGAGAGCCTGCCTCAAAAAAAAAAAAAAAAAAAAAAAAAGAAGGTGGGGGGCAGTATTGAACTAATTCTAGGATCTGTGAATGGCTGTTTGTTGTGAGACAGTCTGTGTGGCCCAGACAGACCTTGAGCTCCGGGCAACCCTCCCGGTTGCAGGGGATCACAGACACAAAACTACCCAGCTAATCCCTCTGCACTCTTGATAAGGCCCTGGACAGTTAACAATTTGGGCTTTTGTGGCCACATTGTCCCATCTCAACCTCTGCTGTAGGAAGTGACTTTCATGTGCAGATGAATACGGATTTTGCTTCACTAAAAGCTATCATAGCCCCAGGATCCAGGGTTGCTCACTGTAGAGAGGACGCTCAGGTTTTACCTGGGTGGCAGTGGCTCCCAGGCACTGACTTCCCTGTGGGGAGAGAAGGGGGATAGGAGGTTCTAGATGGCACAGGGCTCACACCCTCCCTTTCCAGATACCACTGTGGGAGGAGGGTCTGGCTGTCTGGACCAGAACCTGTTTGGTGGATGGCTCCCAGCCCACCTGGAGAGGTCCGCCCAGCGGCAGTTCTGTGTTTGGGGAAGATCTTGGCTACTGGCCAGGAGCTGGGGCAGTTTCCCTTCAAGCTTCCTAGGCCAGGGCACAGCGTGTAGGTGGCACCTTCTCTCCTTCCTGGCCCTAACAACTCCATCTCCCCAGTGCCTGCTGCTTCAGCAAGAACTGGGCTGTGTTAGCCACTGGGTGTCCTTTCTCCTGGCCATACCTGTCCAGCCAGGGTGTTCTGTCTGGACTGCTTTCCCCTGAGACCTTCTAGTTCATGCCTAATCTCTGGACTGGACACATATGCCCTCTGCCTCAGTTTCTTCAACTGACCGACTACCACCTCCCCACAGGTTCCCCTAAGCGGCACCACTTTCAGCGGCAGCGGGCAGCCAGTGAGAGCATGGAGCAAGAGGGGGATGCCCCCCATGCCGACTTCATTCAGTACATTGCCAGCGCAGGCGATTCGGTGGCCTTCCCACCCCCCCGCCCCTTTCTGGCCAGCCCCACCAGCCCGCCCCCCACTCTCGGCAGGTATTTTTCAGTAGATAGAGATGCTAAGGGTGGGCCTGTGGGCCCCTGCCCTGCCCCGTCCCCCCTAGGTGGCCCGGGGACTGCCCTCCTGGCCCTGTGGACACGAACTCGAGTCACACTGGCCACCTCATGGGGGCCACCTCTCCAGCGCAGACCGGAGAAGGAGGAGGGAAACAGGGAAAGCTTGGGTAAGGGTAGGTGGGCAGTTGATGGCTCCAAGGTCTCCAAAATGGGACACCCACCAGAGCAGGGCAGCGGGCTTGGGCCTACCCTGACCCTGCCAATTTGTGGCAGACTCCGAGGCCTGAAAGGCTCCTCAGTTGTCCCAGCAACCCTTCTGCCTACTTGTACTCCTGATATGTGGCCTGACCCCTCACACAAGCCTTGGTGATTGCTTCTATCAGAAGCAACCTCCCTCTCCAACCCAAAAGCAAAACTCCCAAATGCCAAAACCAGTAGGATACAGACAGAGGCCCTGCAAACTTGGGGTGACCCTTGGCTTCTGTGATTCACACCTGGCCCTACCATCCCATGACCAATGGGTGAAGTAACCATGTAGGACCAGGGGCCGATTTGGAGTCTAGTTCAGGTCCATTCTCTTAAGTCCCCTTGCACATCAAGAGAATGTATTTAGGAGTGGCCCAGGCTCCATGAGGGTCCCTCCATGTCCATAGTCCCTAACGCACAAACGTGTGGCCTGGCAGGGCAGGGCAAGGCCTGCAGGCTCTGACCACGTGGGCCTGGCCTTGCAGGCTAGAGGCGTCTGAGGCAGCGGGAGGAGCAAGCCCCGAGACTCCTCCGGAACACAGCATCAGTTTGGGGCCCGAGCATGCGCAGCAGCAGGACCCACAGCAAGAGCAGGACGCCGAGCATGTACAGTGCAGCTACCGTGACCTGTGGAGCCTTCGTACTTCCCTCGAGCTAAATGCAGCCACTGCATCGGACCACAGCAGCAGTGGCAATGACCGCGACTCAGTGCGCAGCGGCGACAGCTCAGGATCGGGCTCCGGGGGTGGCGGCCCAGCACCTGCCTTCCCGCCCCCACCGGAGTCTCCGCCTGCTCTGCGGCCTAAGGACGGCGAGGCCCGCCGCCTGCTGCAGATGGACAGTGGGTATGCGAGCATCGAGGGCCGCGGTGCAGGTGACGAAGCCTCCGAACTTCCCGCTCCAACCCGCAGCCCTCCCCGCAGCCCGCGAGCCTGGCCACGCAGGCCACGCCGCGACTACAGCATCGACGAGAAGACGGACGCACTTTTCCACGAGTTCTTGCGCCACGACCCACATTTCGATGATGCGCCACGCCATCGCGCACGGGCGCATCCTCACGCCCACGCTCGTAAACAGTGGCAACAGAGAGGCCGGCAGCATAGCGACCCCGGTGGCGCACGCGCGGCCACACCCCCAGGGGCAGTCCGTCCTGCGCGTGCGCCCTTGCGTCGTGGTGACAGCGTTGATTGTCCTCCTGAAGGCCGTGCACTGCCGACCGCAGGTGATGACCCGTCCATTCCTGTCATCGAGGAGGAGCCTGGCGGCGGAAGCGGTGGATGCCCGGGCTCTGGGCTGTGCGTCGAGCCCGCCGGGGCGCTGCTGGACAAGCTGGCAGTCAGCCTCGACGATAGACTCTTCTCACCCCGTCTCCCTGAGCCAGTCGCCTCCTCCCCGGTGCTGATTGTCGCTGCTGCTGCCCCCACGTCTCCCGACCACAGCCCGGCCTAAGCTCTGTGTACTCGACCCGCCTCTCGGCAGCTTCCCTGGCGGCACGTGGGGCCCATGCGGATAGCAGAAACCTGGGGTTGCCGTGCATGCGCACGCAGCCCGACTCGAACTGCGCACATGCAGTGTCCCATCACTTAGCGGGTCACAGTGGCCTCCAGAGGCGCGAGGCTCCAGGACCCCGGCTCAGCTGCAGGGTGGATAAAGCATTCGGACTCTCGAGTCCTAATATGTCCAACCATGGCACCCAGCCTCTGGCCACAGAGGCGGGTGAAGCAGGTTCTTAGGTACAAGCAGCCCCCCTCCATTAGTGAGCACGTGCTGGTGATACTATTGCCTGCCATATGCTTGCGTGAACCTACTGGAGGGGAAGGGACCTTGGGGTAGAGAATCAACGAGGAGCTCGCTGCCCCAAATCCTGAATCCATTTACCTCACCATGGTGTGCGCTCTAGCAGCAGCCGTATCCTCCCTCTCCAAGCAATAACCGCCACTCCCGCTCTCAGCATGTGCACAGGCCCCACCTCATCCCATTCAAGAGCCTTGGGCTTTGGACAGACAGACAGAACAGCCCAGGCGGCAGCTTCAAGTTTCCCAAGCTTTATTTATTGCCAAAATATAGGGCGGCCTCGCCTTGAGAGCCCGCCCACTCCCTGCCCTGTGCCCTGCGTGGGTAGTTGTGTTGTCTGGTTGATCATAAATGTCTCTGCATATTCACTCGCTCTGGGTTTTTTCTGCAGGCCACCTTGTGCCTCGCCTGCTCCAAACACCCTCACAGCCATAGCTCAAATCCACTTGTTTTATTAAAAAAAGAAAAAAAAAGAAATCAACCCAAAGACAGGGCGGCATGCGGGCGAGGCCGGCCAGTGGTCTCGACATAAAGTGCTTTCTGGGGCGGTGATCCCTCGGCTCCAACGCCCAGTCCACATGGGTGGGCCGAGAACCGCAGCCTTGCCAGGGCACCTGCCCGGTGATCCTGGTGACACACTGCAGGTAGGTAGAAGAGGTTACTCAGTACCTAGCCTCTGCAGGGAGGTAGACACTACCATTGGTACAATCATGACTGGTAAGGGCTGTGGTCTAAGTCACCAAACCTCACCCCATGGGACCAGTGGAGCCCTGCCCCAAGGGAAGAGCCAGGAACACAGCAGACACCCACTGAGCACCAAGCCGGTCTTTCTTGATCCTTCCTGGCCTTGCGCCCACCTGCAGGCTGCAGTCACTGCTGCTTGCAGGCTGAGAGCCGGCGGATCTTGTTGCTGGAGCACGACTTGCGAGCAGGGTTGAAGGTGCCTGGTCGGCCTTCCGGCTTCACCTTGCTGCTGAGCTGGGGCTCCGTGCCATTCACACACACAGCTTTGGGCAGGCTGCGGGTCTGTCCATTCTGACCCACTTCCTCTTCCATGACCTGTCCTGCGGGAAGATGGCAGGTATGGCTTGAGCCAAGGGACCCGGCCAGCCCCGACTGCGCCAGAGGCTGGTCAGGCTATGCTTTCTAGCCTCTAGTGCCATCCCTCAGTGGCTCCAAAGGCCTGTGCAGCCAGGCCCAGCCTTTCCAGCGGTCTGCCTTGGCCCCCCTGCAGCACGCCCATGCTCACCTGCCTGTCTAGCCAGGGTAGCCCAGCACCAGCTCACAGAGCTCTCCAAGCGAGGCAGGCTCTGGACCCACACCAGGCCCATGGAGATGAAGCACTCAGCCTGGGGGCTACTAGCTGTGCTGAGCATGGGGACACCGTCCAGCTGGGGGCTACAGGTCTAGCTTTCTCTGCTGGCCTGCCATCGCACTGGGGATAAGTCACCTCTCCCAAAGTTCCTCAACAAGTGAGCAGTTTCTAGCATGTAACTGCATAGCCACCAGGTGTTTGAGATGTTACTATGGGAACCCAACAGAGCCCCCCTCCACACCTGTATCCAGAGTCCCTCCTCCCAAAACCTCTGATTCTGCCAAGACTGGCAGCACCCACCCTGGCCCTCACTCTGGGCTAGACTGAGGCATGAGGTACGGTAGCCCCGTAGCAGGAAACCCCTCCCCACAAGGCACTGGGTCCTGTGCAGAGGCTGTCCTTAGGTACTGCCCCTGCACAGCACCATTCCAGGTGACACAGGGCCCCACTGGCTACCCAGATACAAGGCAATGTCCCCAGACCCCTCCCCGTAGCCTTGCCTTCTTTCAAACCACAGCCTCCCTGAGGGTCCCAAAGATGCAGTCAGCATCCTAAAGTGCACCCCTCCCCCACTGATGAGCTCCCATGGAGGTCCTGCCAGGCGTCAGCCTTCAGCTGAGAGCCTAGCTAGTGGTACACATTCCAGACAGGGGCTCAGGGTGACGGGGCACTCGCTGTCTGAACAGAAGATGCTATTAGGATTGAGAATCTTAAGAACGACTGTGGCTAGGGCCCATACCAGACTCAGGGTCCCAGCTGGTAATGCTTCCTGAACCCTCAATTGCTACAGGACACCAGGGGTCCAGGGGCCTGACTCTCCCACACACAACTGTTTGAAGGGCCAGGAGATGCCTTCCAGTAGGGCTGGCTTAAGGGGCACAAGGACAAGGGCCCTCAGAGCTCTATCTAGCCAGTGGTAACACCTTGGTGCTGAGGGCCTGGCTCAGGCCTTGAACCTGGTGTGATTTTTGGCACCCTGGTGGGAAGCCTGCCAGAGTAGTGACAGGGAAGGGCAGTCGCGCGGCAAGCATCCACCTGCAGACACAGTGGACAAAGCTTTATGGAGGACATGGGCAGGGCAGCAGCCAGGGAGCTACACTAAGGCCTCGAACCCCTCCTCGGGCTCCTCTCCAGGAAGGCCTGCGCCCTGGCTCTTCCACATGCATGTGTCGCATGCATCCTCGCTAAGCCCTGCCTCGGCCGCCTCCTCGACACCTGGGGAAGAAGGCGATATAAGGTCAGGCATGGCGAGGACTGAGGGCCACTGGACCCTCCCTCACATGGCTGTCTCAGGGCACCAGCCCACTGCCCTCCAGGGTCTTCTCCTGCCACAACTTGCAGCCAGGGAGCCCCTCGCTAGCCCAGAGTGCAATGCCGCAGCTGAGGATGGCTCAGGTCAGACTGGAGCCTGGGGAAAGGACAAGCCCCAGAGAGCACAAAGGTGCCAGCTCCAGGGTGACCCAAGCTGAGCCAACTCACCGGGCACCGTGAAGTCCTGGGTGTAGATGATGCCATCCTCAATGTCAAACAAGTCCTCATCCTCGTCCTCATCGGCACGGCCATGCAAGTCCTCCAGGTAGGGCACCACTGTCATACTGCGCCAACGGTCCTTAGTGTCTGGGCTCGGGGGGATGGGCACCAGTGCTTCAGCCAATGGGTGTTTCTTCCGGAACCAGCTGCAAAAGTCCAGGTGCAACAGTGTCATCAGTACTGGGCCCTTGGTGAAAACATCTGACACCTCATACAAGATGAGGCCTACCACAGCCCAAACACCCCATGGCTGCCCTCTTGGGTGCTACAGGCTGAGGTCTCAGCGAGGGACTCAGGGATCCTGACATGTGCACTCGCACTGCCCGCTAATAGCAACCACAGCTCCTCAGACAAGGGTGGACAATCAAGGCCATGCACCTATAGTCCCACTATCTCAAACAGAGATAGGCTAAAAGCCCTCCCTAGGGAACACCCAGTTGAATTAGTCTCAGCCCAGCATGGAGGTGGCAAAAGCCCTGGGGACAACTGGCAGGGGCAGAGCCCACAGGCCACCTTGGACCCAGGGTTCCCTCCATTGCCTTCCCGCCTCCTGCTGGCCTCCTTGGCTGTACTCCCATGCTGAGATGGTCGGGCTCCACTGGGCTAATGGCCATCTGGGGTCCAGAGTGACACACCCGCTATACTCTTCCACATCTACTGCAACATCCTCCCACCACGGAGGAACTGCTGCACAGCTGCCTGCACACCTCAACAGGGCAGCAGAGGGAGGGAGCCTGGGATAGGCTGGTGCTGGAGGACTTCACCCCTGCCTGCACTGGGCGACAGGAGGGAGGCAGAGCCAGCAACCTGCAGACCCCAAGCTCACACGGCACTTCCCCTGGCCAGCAGCGAACGGTGCATATACATCCTCACTTCTGTGACCACCAGCATCTGCAACCATGCTCTCATGTGCACTCAGACCCCAGCAGGTGCACATGGGAAGGGCAGCGCTTACCTGTGCTGCCTGATCTGTCGGATGGAGAACCTCTTGGCTGGCTCATACTCCAACATCCCTGTACAACAGAAGGGTCAGTGGAATAGGTGCCTGCCTTCTCCGTGCCACAGCCCCACCCCACCATCCATCCTACTGGCCTTCCTAGGCCCCAGTGAGCCAGAAGCAGGCAGCCTGGGCATAGCACTGAGACCCCCCTGGATGGGGCAATCAAAGCTGATGCTAGTGCCACCTGTTGTACAGCCAGGATACACAGGACACCCTTGCATTCTCTGTGCAGAAACCCGGGAAACAATCCTCGAGACCTCCAGTGCCAGCTGACAGGGGCTGCTCTATTAGTCAAGGTAGGCCACTGGCCCCACCCCACTGCCATCTCTGGCCACCTAGGAGCTGCAGGAGACCCCGCTGACTCCGGCCCCCCCACAGACCAGAGGCTCTGTCCCTGGCTGTCCTGGCATGCAGGTGACCCAGTCACTAGGAAGATGCCCACCTCGGAGCAGGTCAGAAAGTGGTGGGCCGCAGTCGCAAGGGATGGTGAAGTCCCCTCTCCCGATGTTCTCAAACAGCTTGTAGATATTGTCTCCCTCAAATGGGTACAGGCCCGTGGTGATGTTGTAGCTTAACATAGGAGGACAGAATCAGTGCTGACCACACCGGAGACCAGGTGCCCAACTCCCAGAAGGATCAATATTAACTGGTAGATGTGCGGCCATAGCACCTACACCCACCCTGTGAAGTGGGGTCAAGGGGAACCATATCCATAGTCCTGGAATATCCAACTTGCTGATCACCGTGGACAAAGAGCCCCAAGAACACTAAAGAAAACCCGCAGGCAGCTCCCCATCTGCTACAGGGTCTAAAACACTTACAGTGTGACCCCAGCTGACCAGATGTCCACCTTGAAACCTGAGAAGGTGTCAAGTCCATTGGCAATCTCGGGTGGCTGGAAGGCCGGGGAGCCCTGGCTTGTCCGGCAGGTGTCATCCACAGCAAAGGGGTGCAGGGCCTGGAGGGCAGTGAGAGTCAGGGGTGCTCAGGAGAAGTAGCCCAGGAGCCCTGCACACGGTGCCTACCTCGGCAACACCCAGGTCGGAGATCTTGAGCGTGCCGTTGGTGGTGAGCAGCAGGTTGCCCGGCTTGATGTCCTTGTGCACAATGCCCTGGCTGTGTAGGTACTCCAGGCCGTCAATCAGCTGGCGAAAGTACCTGAATGGGTGGGACCGGCTCAGGCCCCACAGGGTCTCAGCCCATACCACGGTGCCTACACAAGCCTGCTATGCAATTTGGTAGAGTCACGAGGCCTAGCCCACAAGGGAACAGATATTTGGGGTTCAGGTAACAGACATGATAGTCAGAAGGCTGGAGCCCATTGGAAATTACAGGGGGCAACTACAGACATTGGGGCCTAGGCCCAGGGAGCCAAGCCTCCCCTCTGGCTTAACTTCTTCCCCTTCCCTTGATTCTGTGTCAACCAAGGGATCGTGACTCTGCTGAGACTAGGAGAGATGGCCAGGCCTCAGAGTCAGGCTCTGCAGGGCAGTGGGTCCACAGGGCCTAAGAGGAAGGTGACC